ACCCCTTACATGGGATCAAGCCCACCCAAGGAGTAAGACATCTTAGCTTCTCAACTTTAAAGCATTCTTTTGCCCTTTCCATTCCTACTGTCTATCTTCACTGGCAAGGTTGACATGGTCATAATTGCCTTCAGAAATACATGAGAGACAAGTCCTCTAGAAGGAAACAGAGCAACCAAACGCCACTGGAGGTACATACAATCTTGAGCTCTATTGACCTCTTCAGTCCAGATGGCATAACTAAAGGAAGACAGTCATCAGCTCTACCCCTATGTTCCCAAACTAGAAAGGTAGAGGGTGGCTTTGTTTTTAAAACTATATAAAACATTCATCTATCTATGTGATGCAATCTTCTTTCTTTTTAATGGCAAAAACTAAAGAGAAGAAGAAAGCCTCGGAAGGTCATTAAAATCAGAAGACTTAGGGGGAACAGTTAACAGAATAAAGTCACAACTAAATGGAAATCATTAGAATAGATTTCCAGAATAATTTATTACTTAATCCTCTTCTACCCAAACAATAGTGCTTACTTGTAGCAAACATTTTAATATGGGTTTTATCTTGTTTTATGAGGTTCTTGTCCGGTTAGAGAGATTTCAGTCTAATTAATTATTTTATGAATATGAAATCATCAATGTCTTCTACTAGGTCTACACCCTTACTTTTATCAAATTTAGTGAAAAGATCACCATTTTAAAAAACCTAAGTCAACCAGGTACAGTGGCTCAAGCCTGTAATTCCAGCACTTTGGAAGGCCGAGGCAAGAGGATTGCCTGAGCCCATAGATTCAAGAACAGCCTGGGCAACTTGGCGAGATCTCATCTGTACAATAAATCAAAAAATTAGCCAGACATGGTAGCACCTGCCTATAGTTCTGGCTACTTGGAAGGCTGAGGTGGAAGAATCACCTGAGCCCAACAGGTCGATGCTAGAGTGGCTGTAAGCATGCCACTGCACTCCAGCTTGGGCAACGGAGTGAAACTCCAACTCACACACACAAAAAAAACTTAAGTCAAGGAAGAAGATGTTTTTAGGCTCTGTCTAATGTCATCTACATAGACTAAAGGTGTTCCTGTCTTTTAAAAACCTGCATATCATTAAACAAATACTTCAAGTAACTTCACCAGCAGCAAATCAAGGATCAGTCTTTGGGAGAAAAAAATGTGTCTGTGTGGTATCTCAATGCAATCCATTTTGCTTAAAAAGAAACTATTTTATACCAAAATTACAAAGGATAACTGTACACCTTCCTTAAAAACAGATCTACAACTGCAATAGTAAAAGTGACATCTTTATACAATAACTAAATGTATTATATTTTAGAAACTCTGGGCTGCCAATCTCTAGTTCGCTCTTGATTATCACTCCCTACCCCTGCCCACACATCCCATTCTTCTTGCCTTAACAGACCCCTGACTGTGTTCAGTGATGGGTAATTGTGTTTCAGAGAAGGTGAACTAGGGAGCCCCACCCCCATGACCAACTCCAGGAGGTCAAGCTAAATTGGTCTAAGCCAACACTGATGCTTTTACTCCCTTCCATTTAGAAATTGGCAAAAGTGTAAGGCAATTACATCTGACAAAACATGGAGGAGCATCTGTTGTGAGGCTTGTGGGAAAGGTTTATTTGCTTTACAAGAGTAACAAAGGCCAATCATAGTGGCTCATGCCTGTAATCCCAGTACTTTGGGAGGCCAAGATAGGAGGATGGCTTGAGTCCAGGAGTTCAAAAGCAGCCTGATCTCATCTCTACAAAAAAAAAATCAAGGAAATAAAATTGCATAGCAAGATCTCATCTCTACAAAAAAAAATCAAGGAAATAAAATTGCTGAGTGTGAAAGGAGGAGGACTGCTCAAGCCCAGGAATTCAAGGCTATGGTGAGCCATGATCATGTCACTGCACTACAGTCTAGGTGACAGAGTGAGACGCTGACTCAAAAAAAAAAGAGAGCCACAAAGAAGAAAAAGACCCTGTTCCCCTTCTTCTGTGCAAGGATGCACTGCTTAAGGCCAAGGTAGAAAAAGACTTGCTGGAGCAGACAGTCACCTTGCCCTGGGGGGATGGGGCTCCCTGAAAAGATGGAGAATGACCTGAAAAGATAGAGAATCGAGGTCATCAAGAAGGCTACTGAGCTACAAACCTAACTTCTGACCTGCCTCCAGACACCCTTTTACATGAATAACAAATAATTACTTATTATGGAATCTAGGTTTTCTGTCATCTGCGGCCAATCTTTCCCTAACATATTTTTCCATTGTGTTTCTAAGCACCAGGACTGATTCTAAGCCATAAGCAGGTATCATATGACACAGCAATCCCTGAGGCAGCTTCCAGGATTATCCCCATTTGTTAGATGAGTGAACTGATGCATAAACAATTTTAGCAAAGTGTTCAAATCTCATATATGGTAAATTGCTACTAACTAGCTAGTCTGACTTCTGGGCCCATGCTAAACTATCTAAATCTTAAAAACATTTAAGTCAAAATGATAATAAAATAATAACATGAATTAGTTTAAAAATATGTACTACTTGAGAAAATTGTTTCCTTCATAGAACACCCATAGTTTTTTTATTTTTATTTTTATTTTTTTGAGTTGGAGTCTCACTCTGTCGCCCAGACTGGAGTACAGTGGCCGCTCCTGGCCACCGTAGCCTCGATCTGCTGGGCTCCAGCAATCCTTCTGCCTCAGCCTTCCAAGTAGCTGGAACTACAGGCGCGCGCTACCCTGCCCGGCTAATTTTTTTGATTTATTGTAAAGATGAGGTCTTGCCAAATTGCCCAGGCCGGTCTTGAACCCACAGGCTCAGGCAATTCACTCACCTCAGCCTCCCACAGCGTGAGATTACAGGCTGAGCCACCACGCCCGGCTAGTTTTTTGATATTTAAAATTAATTCCATCACACAATGTTAGCATGCTAACATATACTGCATAACAAAAATCAGTACATTTGCCATAATATCAGGATGCCCAAGGCAAAGAGTCAATTTTCATATTTTATTTTAGGAGGTTTATAGCATAAAACAGACTGAGATGAAACATGTAAAACACTTATGATTTCTTTCAACACTATCATTAATCTAAATTGAGAAATAGTTATCCTAGTATTTAGGTGACAGAATTATTATTAATTTTTTACATTACTGAGACAAATAAACAACAAAATATTCTCTGAGTATTCACTTAATTTTCTGCCCATATAATATTTTTAAATAAGTATCTCTAAGTAACCACAAATGTGGGTTTTTAATATTAAAATTATTAAAAGATGTTCAGCTTCACTAATTACCAGGGAAATGTATGTCAAAAGCATAATGAGATATTACCTCACACTGTTAGGATGGCTGTTTTCAAAAAGTCAACAGATAAATGTTAGCAAGGATGTGAAGAAAAGGGAACCTTTGTATACTGCTAGTGGGAATGTAAATTAGGGCAGCCTCTATGGAAAACAGTATGGAAGTTCCTCCAAAAATTAAAAGTAGCACTACCACATGATCCAGCAATTCCACTTCTGGGTATCTATCTAAAGAAATAAAATGACTATATCAAAGACATATTTGCACTCCCATGTACATGGAAGCACTATTCATAATAGCCAAGATATAAAGACAACTTAAATGCCCTTGGACAGATGAATAGATAAAGAAAATACAGTACGTATATACAATTGAATATTACTCAGTCTTAAAAAAGAAGGAAATCTTGTCCTTTGCAACAACATGGATAACCCTCAAGGATATTACGCTAAGTGAAATAAGCTACATATGGAAAGACAAATACTGCATGATCTCAATTAGATGTAGAATCTTAAAAAAAAAAACAGACTCATACTTACAGAATGGAATGGTGGCTACCAGGGGCTGTAGGGTGTGGGTAAAGACAAGATACTGGCCAAAGGGTATAAACTTTCAGTTATAAGATAAATAAATTCTAGAGACCTAGCATACAGCATGGCGAATCCAGTTAATAGTAATGCATTCCGCTAAGAATTTGAAATTTGCTATTTGTATTGAAACATTCTAAAAGAGTAGATCTCAAGGGATCTCACCACACACACACACACACGCACACACACATCTATGTGAGATGATTAATACATTAATAAACCTGATTGTGGTAATCATTTCACAATGTAAACATCTAACAAAACATCACATTGTACATCTTAATACATGTACTTTTGTCAGTCATATCTCAATAAAGCTGGTGATGAAAACTATTAAAATGACAAAAAAAACACTGGGATTCCTCACTACCAAAAAACAAAACAAAAAATACTGTGACTAAATAATAAACATTAAGATATTTAAAAACACACGGGAAGAATTAACTTATCAGATAAAATGTCTTAGTCTAACAGTGATGCAACAACTTTGTAAATAGTCATTCTTCCCAAGACAGGAAGCAATTATTTCACGAGTGGTAAACAATTCTGATTTCATGAATTGTAGGTGGTGGTCCTGCAGAGTGAACTAGTCAACTCTAAAAACATATAAACCTAAAATAGGTCCTTGACATTTATGAAGGTATAAGTGCTCAAACCTCACAAGACACTGTAATCTAAATTCTGAAACAACACCATAGGACGCATCTCTCTCACAGAGTGAAGTCAGGTATAACAAAAAGTTTTCATTTGCTTCTTCTGATCCTTGGACTTACTGCCTATCGAAGAAGATGAGAGTCTTGAAAGTCTACTCACTGCCTCTGTGAGTCTTGAAAGTCTATCTGTGCCTCTGGAACATCACAAACTCTGATGCTTCAGAATTGAAGGCAAATATTCATAACTGCTCACAAGAAAGCTTTGGTCAGGGACCAGCACAGAAATATTCTGCATTTACATTAGATGACCTCTGACATAGAACCTCATACTTCACTCTAGTTTGTTCAAATAATTAGGAAGTTACTTTTAAACATGATCATGATGGGAGGAACATCTTTTGGGGTGTTGGATCAGATGCTACACCAAGGCACACATGTAAGGATTCGCTTATGTAGTTACCTGTTCTTGCTTCTCCAGCCACTTGTCCACCATTGGGTGACTGGCACTGAGAGATGAGCGAGCATTGTCTCTCTGAAATTGGTTAGACCAATTACTAGTATCCCGTGGGAGGCTTCTGTAGTTTTCATCTTTCTATTCAAAAAAGAAACAAAAAGGTGTCTTGTAAAAAACCAGAATGATGCACCTGGTTTTTCAATAATAATAGAAAAATAATTCTACGTATTTAAAAATATATTCCAAGCCTACATAAAATAGCCGACTGAGGACATTCAACCCAAATTCAACCTCAGAATTTCAGTCAAGTACCAACTGGGAGTCTTAAGAAAAGAACAGGAAAAGTGACCACACAGGTACAAATACAACAAATAAAACACTATACAAGTACTTAACGCTTCCACCCAAACCAATCTCCCAGGCCAAGTATGCGCACCAAAAAATGAAAGATCCTTCCATATAAGACTTTTACTATCTCTCAGTCATGGCATTTTCTCTTTTCTTCTTTTTTCAATTGCATAATTATATTGTAAGATCGCTTCTATAATTCACCAAAACTGTTGAAAACAGGCTAGACTGATAAATTTGTTCCTTCTCTGGATTCTCAGTTTTGTAAGATTCTCTAGGCTGTTCTGTTACTTACTTCACAAGCTTGCAGTCAGCATTAATTCAAATGACAAGAAAAAAAAATTGGCCTATCACAATACTTGATACATAATAGACACAAAATAGACACTCTGACATGGTTATGACAAGTGGTATCTTTACATAAGTATACATTTATCAACTAAGTTTTTAATACTTCCCAGAACAACCAAATGCTACTAGACCTTCCTCCCTCCCTTCCTCTCTCCCTCCCTCCCTCCTTCCCTCCTTCCTCTTTCCTTCCTTCCTTTTTTTGAGTTGGGGTCTCATTCTGTTGCCTAGGCTAGAGAGCAGTGGTATGATCATGGCTCATGGCAGCCTCAACCTTCCAACTAGCTGGAACTACAGGCAATAGCTACCATGCCTGGCTAATTTTTTTTATTTTTATTTTTGTAGAGACAAGGTCTTGCTATGTCATCTTGAACTCCTGAGCTCAAGTCATTCTCCCACCTTGGATTCCTAAAGTGCTGAGTATACAGGCATGAGCCACTGTGCATGGCCTGGATGTTTCTTTCAAATAGCAGATTATAAAAACTTGCTTCGGCTTTTGAGCTGCACAACTTAATTTCAATGTTCTGAAAATAAATGAGATGGCTAGGATAAAGTAGAGAAATAAAATATTTTAGTTCAATGACTAAGTCTGAATTACTTCCTACAAGAACAAATTTAAAATGTTATCTTCAGTTTGACTCACTTAAGTCAGTATGCCAAGTTAAGAGGCCGGGCTCGGTGGCTCAGCCTGTAATCCCGCGCTTTGGGAGACTGAGGTGAGTGGATTGCCTGAGCCTACGGGTTCGAGACCCACCTTGGCACCTTGGTGAGACCTCATCTCTACAATAAGTCAAAAAATTAGTCATGTGTGGTAGCGCACTCCTGTAGTTCCAGCTACTTGGAAGACTGAGGCATAAGGATTGCCGGAGTCCAGCAGGTCGAGGCTGCGGTAGCTGGGAGCGGCCATTGCACTCCAGTCTGGGTGATAGAGTGAGACTCCAACTCAAAAAAAAAAAGAAGAGGACCAAAATATTCTCCATGATAACTTCGTTAAGAGCAGTCTAGCTGTAAATATTACATATGTGATTCATATTTTTTTTTTTGAGTCAGAGTCTCACTCTTCCCTCTCTTTAATCCTCACAGTCACTAGGTTTTGTTGCTTCAAAGTTTTTTTCTTATCTCTCATCTGAAACCATAACAGTGGCCTTCTAATTGGACACAGGCTCTGACCACATCCTTTCTAATAATGTTTCACACATCTTCCCGAAAAAGGATTTTTCTAAACCGTTGTGCTGGATTACATCACACCTATGGCAAGCACAGTACGTAGACCAGAAGAACTTACAGACAACTGTGCTGGCTGTACCATACACAGCAATCCCCCACATACAAACCTTCAAGTTACAAACTTTCAAAGAAATGAATATATGTTCAGAATGTAATTCAGTACTACTGTGTCAACTATGAGGAAAAAAAGAGCTACTACCGAGACATCACTGAATTGTTTTTCCAAGAGAGTAGATAGAATTGAATCCAGCAATGAACCATAACCTGCACCATCAACATTGGGTGTGAGTGAAATTACAGCTTGCCCCCCATCTCCTGTTGCTGACAATCCTTCAGAACTACCATCTCCTATCTCTCCTACCTCCAGTCAATAACTATTGTTGCCTGTTCACCCGATGCCAGCCCGTTTGCCAGCTGTTGTACTGTACTGTTCTGCACAACTGTACTTTTCAAGGTACTGTACTCTAAGGTTAAAAAGGTTTTATTTTTTGTGCTCACTTGTTTTTTATGTATTATTTGTGTGAAAAGTATTATAAACCTATTACAGTACAGTACTGTATAGCCAATTGTGTTAGTTGGATACCTAGGCTAAATTTGCTGGACTTAATGAACAAATTGGACTGAAGAACATACTCTCAGAACGGAACTCATTCATATGTAGGGGACTTACTGCACAGTTTATTGAACTTAATGAACAAATTGGACTTAAGAACACACTCTTGGAACAGAATTCATTCGTATGTAAGGAACTTACTGCACCTCTCTTTCAGAACACATCCTCAGAATGGAACTCATTCATATGTAGGAGACTTACTGTACCTCTTCCCCTTCACTCTTGCTTTCTTTAAGATCAGACTTCCATTATCCCTTATTCTACACAAACACTGAACATTCTTCCAACCCAGTGCAAATGCTACTTTCTCTAAGGAACACTCGCTGATTCTCAATAGAACCAATCATGTCATGCTTTTTGTTACCACTATATTCTAATTGTACTTTAATTACAGTTCTAACTTACAATTTAGTTCAATTTTTTTAATTGCTGTTTCCACTCTTCTGGGGAAGCCTGAACAAAAGATCACCATTCACCGCTCAACCCAAGCACTTAGCACAGTAGCCTACAACAATATGGATGGCTTTTGCTTGGGTATATTTTTATGTTTCCTACTTCACAAGGTTTCAGAATCTTGGAATCTTAAAAGAACACTTTGATAAGTTATTTTAAAATTGTTGAGGGATTCCTTTTAAAAAGTTATCAAGATAAATATCAGCAAAATGGATTTCCACTGAAATGTAATGACTACTTTTAGATTTATAGTAAAAGATGTATACCACTGTTACATGTCTATTTCAATTTCATGTCACACCTACAGCATACAATGTGTATGATAATTGTGATTATTTCCAATTGAATCTAAAAAGTAGTGTATTATTTCTCCATTTAAGTCAATTATGACATGTAATTCACACAGCACGGCAACACAGAATAATCATATTAAGGGAGAGAATGGCTAAAGATCAAAAGGTCTGTCTTTGCATAGCACCTGAAGAATTATATAATTTTATATTTGTAGAATCAATGCTGAGAGTTCATGGATAAGAAAAATGAAAGTGATATTCATCCCCTCATAACAAATAGTTTTCTCAATTCATGGTGAAGACAAAAATGAACCTATATATTAATTCATTTATGATGTATGAAAAGTGATTATTTACAGTAATCTTAAATCATTAAGTGAATAATTTTTAAAATATATTATTAGCCACAATCTACATAAATATTATTTTGTTGACAGCATCATGTGGGTGCTACTGGCATTTCAGCTATACTCCTTTCCACAACCCTGCCTGACGTTTGGACTTAGTGAGTCCAAGGAGTGCAGGTCCATGACACTGTAGCTTTATATTTATCATGGGAGTGCATCACTTAATATAACATACAATGTATCTTCTACATCATAACATATGCTTGTGTGTCAATGGTTTCGCACTGAAATGTATACAGTGCACATTTTTCAATTTGAAAATATTTGTTTTAGTGTAAATAATTTTAAAAATACATAGTCTTAAATATATCTGTGCAAGACCCTCTATATTCATTTATGGAACAAACTACAATTACAAAAAGTTATTTTAACTCAAATATATTTTCAAAACTTATATTTTACAATATAAAGGAACTATCAAGTCAATAAATTTTATTGTCATTAATATTTTTTGCAACAAGCTAGAGCTATACTTAAAATAAACTGGAGAACGTCATTTTAAATCTATTTCATTCCGGAACCAAATTAATGACTCCATTTTTGTACACTGGTAAATATCAAAGCAAAAACAGAAATCTATTTCTTTAGACTTATAAAAATCTATCAGCAGTTTGGGCATGTGGCTCACACTTCTAATATCAAAACTTTGGAAAGCCAAGGTGGGAGGGCTGTTTTAACCCAGGAGTTCAAGACCAGCCTGGGCAAGAGTGAGACCTCGTCTCAACAAAAAAATTGAAAAATCAGCCAGGCAAGGTGCTGCATGCCTATAGTCCCAGCTACTCCAGAGACTGGGGCAGGAGGATTGCCTGAGCCTAGAAGGTCAAGGCTGCAGTGAGCCACAATTGTGCCACTGTACTGCAGCCTGCGCGATGGAGTAAGACACCCAACTAAAAAAAAAAAAATCCATCAACATTACCAATATGCAAAAATTCTATTTTCTATTCATTACCAACATATAAAAATTATTAAATTAGCTAATGGCAAGAGTTAATTTATTACAGTAAAGTCACTTTAAATAAAAATTTATGTATGAAAAATACCATAAGGAATTACTGTCCTTTTAAAAAAATTATAACTTTAATTCTCCACCTATAAGGTTGTCCCAATCAGCCACTCAGCTTTGGGCTGGGTAAGAAACTTTCCTTCTTGCCAGAAAAAAGCAGATGTTCCTGCCGTGATCAGGGATTTTCCTTATCATCTAATGTACTGACACATCATCAGGTGGCAAAAGAATGCCACCCCAGCTGGGAAATGCATACTAATTTGCTGTTCCCTGGTAGCAGTATCCTGGCTATGGAGTAAATCTCTCCCAAGGTAGGGAAAGCAAGTGTCTTCTCTCTCCCTCACCCCTCCACAAACCAATTACAATTTAATAAAAAGATACCTCATAGAGCCCACCCAATGCCTTGAGATAGAAGCTTATTCCTGGCTTACTACGCTGCCACTCCA